GTCCACACTAGTCATGTGAAACAAGTGTGGGTGTGTGTGTGTGTGTGTGTGTGTGTGTGATCTTAATCTAAATTGCAAATTAAATCATGCGTAATGAACCAAAAAACACATCACGGTGTAAAAAAAAAACACGATTCACTTCGATTACATTCCTTCTTCCTTTGGCTATCACCGCCACGGTACTTTTTCGTTTTTACAGGAGAGGTAACAGCCGAGACGAAGATAGTTATCGAAGATTGAAATCGCACTTTTCCAACTCCACTGCCCTTGATAATTACTTCTATCAAATCCCGGTCTCCACTCGGACGTCGTGGTCACACAGGTTATTTCAGTAGAACTGATTTTCCGTTTACTTGTGATTGATTCTTCACTGTTACTGCTTTCAAAGGTTAAAAAAACTGGCTTTGTTAAAGAACGTCTGCTCGGGTAAACGAGACTTTTGCCGAGAAAACAGAATGGGTCCACGGTTTGTTCAATCTTCAACCGCAATTGTGTACACCTTCATTTGTATTATAAGTCTGGTAGAAGCCGTGAACGACTACTCCTTGCCTAATCGCCAATGCTACGTTTACCGCCGGCCCGGCGATCTTATTCTAGGCGGCATGTTCACCATCGCCCGTACGTCTGAGCTCTCGTGCGACATCAATGACGACGAGATTTCACTCGGCATGTTAATGCCGGAGGCCATGGCATTCGCTATTGGCGAGATCAACAAGCGAGATGACATCTTACCAAACACCACACTAGGATACGAGATCTGGGATTCCAGTTGGAAGGAAGACATAGCCGTGGGCATAGCTTTGTCTTTTGTTAACGATTCGTCTTGCGTTAACGATGGGTTAGGGTCCATGGCAGATAAGGTAGTTGGTATCATTGGTCCTCCATCCAGCGCATATAGCGTCCTTGTCAGTAAAATCACTCAGCCTTACAAGCTTCCGGTGATATCTCACTGGGCTACTAGTAATGAGCTGTCCGACAAAATTCGCTTTCCGTACTTCCTCCGCACCGTGCCACCCGATAAGCTTCAGGCTGGTGCCATCGTGGATCTCTTACTGCGTTTCGACTGGCATTATATTGCTGTCATTTACTCGGTGGACAGCTACGGGCTTCACGGTGCCCGTCAGCTGATCACCCAAGCCGAGGAGGGCGGGGTATGCGTAGCCCTGTCGGCACCGCTGTCCGTGCTTGACACAGACCGGGATTTGGAAGACCTCGTGCTGAAACTGAAGGGACTGAGTTTCGTCCGTGTCGTGGTTGTCTTCGCGGCCGGAGAAATGCCGGCCAAGTTTCTGCAGCAGGTATCAAAGACGAGCTTCCCGTACAACATAACTTGGATCGGTAGTGACGGATGGGGTTACTCAATGACAGACAACGAGCAATTAGCAGGGCTTGTGGCAGGCAGTATATTCATCCGATTGAACAGCCCAAAGGAGCAAGCATTCGAAGAGTACCTGAACTCAGTTGATCCTAGACAGGAGAACGCTGCCGGGCAATGGTTTACTCGGTACTGGAAGAGAATACTTGCCCCCAATTGCTCTGAGACTGCCCCCATGGAGATGTGCGCCACCCCTCTACCCGACGGCTTCTCTACCGAGTACAACACCGTAGGTCCAATAGACGCTGTGAATATATTCGCTCGGGGGCTGCACTCGCTGCTGACGGAGACCTGCTTGCAAGAAGGTTCTCAGACTAACTGCTCCCTTACCCGAGCCGAGATTAACGGGGAGGATTTAATGAGACACCTTCTGCAGGTCAACTTTGTTGGAGCCACGGGTAAAGTGCACCTGAATGAAAACGGAGACCCCGAAGGTGTCTACATCCTGAAAAACCTAAGGTACAGTAACGGGAGTTACCACTTCGAAGACATTGGAACATGGGACTCTAGAAAAAAGCAGAATCGGCTTGAGTTGGATATCAAGAGAATCCAGTGGTCCGGACGGGATGCTACAGTTCCCCGGTCAACGTGTCGTCCAAAATGCTCAGTGGGGTACATTGTAGTTCCCCTGGAGCAGAAGTGCTGCTGGGGTTGCCAGAAATGTGACAACAACGCTATCGTAATAAACGAAAACGTGTGCATGGCTTGCCCTATAACCCACTGGCCGAATGATGCAATTGACACCTGTGTTCCAATCGTGCCCGCGACCACCGACCTCTCAGACCCACTTGTCACTGGTATCTTCGTTCTGGCCTGTTTCGGGTTGACCCTCTCCTGTCTAACAATGGTGGGTATGGTATATTATCGTCAGAGCCGGCTGGTGAAAGCTACTAGTAAGGAACTGAGCAGTATCAACCTTCTAGGCCTGACCACAGCTTTTCTGGCGATTATCCCACTTCTGCAACCACCGACGAGTCTCACATGCGCGGCGTCCGAAGCACTGATCTCTGTGTGCTTCACCACGACATACGCACCGACGCTGCTCAAGGTAATTCGTATCTTCCGGATCTTTAATGCTGGGAGGAGGATGGTCAGATCTCCGCGATTTGTTGGACCAAAGCAGCTGGTTGCAGTGGCTGGTATACTAATTCTATTGCAGGTAAGAACACTGTAAAGAAAAAAGCCATTAAATTTTACACCCAGCATTGTGAGTTACCTAAAAAAAAGAATTGATCTTATCAAAGAATTGATCTTTGAATTGATTCAGAAACTTTCCGAGACCTCTGTGCTCCTTCCTGTAAGAAATGTTGACCCAGTATAACTGCTGCGAGTGGCGTGGATACCGAAGAAATTCAAAGACTCCGCTTCAAAAAAGTTGTCCTGGGTTATTATGATCATTTATGATGCAGCATAGTTCATACGGACTAGTGAAGCAGTGTACTTTAGGACTTCGTCTGAGAATTTTGATTCAGAGAAAGTTTATTTTAATGAATTTCAGATCTAGTTTGACGTACGACATCAGTACCGGTATGCATATTAACCTCTTTTACTGTGATACTGTACGCTTAATAAATGTTGTTTATTGGCTTGGTGTAGTTGTTTTCTTCTTTTATTTTCCTAATAGATCATCGCCGCGGTCATTGTTGGGTTCCTGGATGCTCCTCATCCTGGCCTTCTTTACACATCTCCACCTAGCGATCACATTGAGCTGTACTGCGTCTTCAGCAGGGCATTCCCGGGGTTCTGTGGCTACAATCTCATCATCGTTCTCCTGTGCTGCTACTACGCCTTCCTGGCCCGTAAGGTCCCGGACAACTACAACGAATCCAAGTTTATTGGTGTCAGCGTCTACTCCACGCTGGTGCTGTGTCTGGCCGCTGTGCCGGTGTATACCACGGCCCTAGAAGCTCGGCAGAAGATAGCCGTCCTGGCGATGGTAGTCCTTGCTAATTCGTTCCTTACCATCTTCTTCGTCTACTTTCCCAAACTGTTCGCTGTTCGGTTCCGATCCAGCGTTCAGGTTGGGGATACCAACACCTCTGCACACGCAGTTCTGTCAATAACCTGATCCACAACGGCAACCTGCCCGATGATAACCCAGTTAATGTTCCTGTAAATTTCAGGAGTTGTCCTGTAAATGATTGAATTTCACGTTTTTGGGCAGATTAAGCAGAAAATAAATCAACAGCGGGCCTAACCTATAAAAAAAAGCAGTGCAATTCTCCCCTCCCAAATCTCAAAGGTCATAGAAACCCATAACTAAACGTCATGAATTCGGCACATATTCTATAAAGTTTGCATGGCTGAACATGCATCGTCGCCGACTTATTATGCGCGTTTTACAGTAATGTACCTATAAAGACAAAACCAGCACGGCAGAAATCTCAGATCCTCTTTATATAAGAACGACAACGCCAGAAGTATTTCCAATGTTGCACAAACAAACAGCAGGAAAAATGGATCAAGTTCTAAGTGAATCAAGAGGTCATTTTTTTTCCCCAAATGAATACAATCATAATTCAAACGGGTAAAAATGTAGCTAGAGTTCGCTGTGTCGTCGTGCTATACGGCCGACTTTGTTTCAGAGAAGTTGGGCCCTACAGCATACCGCCTAGCGATTGGGAGTGAGGCTCCTACTGGTGCCGTATTCAAACCGATGAATCGTTATCGGCATTTTGTTGAAAAGATTTCCCCACGGAATTTTGACAGTATTTGAAAATGCTAAATAATGAGGTGTAAGCAAACAAGAACAACATGATTCTTTTTTTCGGAGAGCATGACATGTGCAAAATAACTTGATTCAGTAAAATTTGCCAACTTTACTTGGGACCACTGCTTTCACACTACCACCCCAAGAACCATTTTGTAAAATAACTGCAATTCGTCGTTGAGTCAGTCGTATAATAAAACAAGTTGGCACGTGTGACGAATGACAGTTCTCGATTAGAACTCGATTACAAACCAATCGGAAAGCAAAACACAATGACCAACTGTCGCCAGAGTGAAACCTGATGGTGTGTGTCTAATTTGATGTAATTTTCGTCCAGTGGACATCTCCGCAATCACATTCTGCAAAGCATGACTGACGCTTGCACATCAGGTGCAGAAGTACAAGTCCTATATAATTAAATGAAGTGTCGACCACGTAGTTTCCTTGTTTGCGTGAGTTACTACATGATTATACAAACTCGTGTTTCGTAAAGAAATTTCGCAGGACGTTTATTAATTGCATTTCTTACAACAAAGAACGTTTACAATGCAAGCAAACAAAAGCACGGACCTTTGCAAAAGGACCTTTGACATTATTTTTTTTTCTCTCAAGAAACTGAAGTGGCCAGCACGGCGCTATACTATTTTGACAATGCGTGTTTTTTTTGTTTTTTGGGTTTTTTTTTTATTATTACCTTATTACCTGTGCGTTTAGTTTAACTTTTGTTAGCTTTCTCTGTGTTTACGGCGGTCGAACAAAAGGCCTAAACAAACAATGCCGCCTAAATAGCCAGCTGCGGGAAATTTTATTTAAAATGATTTTGTCCGCTTATTTTCTGACCAAAAAAAACCCTTTGAGCATCTGTTGGCGGTGATTATAGAATAAACACAGAACACAAGAGAACGCTATTCTTACCGTCGACATCAGACTCCTCGGAATCCAGGATAGCGGTGACGTCACCGTACACGGTCTCAGGGTCGCTACCCCTCCGCCTCCGTAGTGGCGATAACCGACTCACAATGTCCCGGATGTCCAAGTGCCCGGATTGAGTGAGAAGGTCGGTAACCTCGTCGGGCATGATCGGCGCCTTGTGCTGGTTGCTAGGCGACAGGCCGTGGACGTTGCCATAGATATCGTTTATCATTGCATAGATACGTAGAAGCTGTCGCAGTAGCAACTGGTCCTGCATTCGCATGGCCTTCTATGAGTTTAAGAAAAACAAATCGAAACTGCAATTGTATTTTCTAAAAAAAAAAATAGAAGAATATATTTCAGTGTACTGCAACGCCCCCCCCCCCAAAAAAAAAACCACATTAAATAAATAAAAAATAAGGAGGAGGGTGTTCATGCGTTCTTGAGTAATGCTATGCATGATCATCGAAACCTTCCGAATGGCAATAATTATAACAGACCTATATACATTTCTCTTCGCATCTGTAATGTAGCTGAATCAACTATCTTGTAAAATCGACAAAGTATAGCGAACACAATTTACGTAATTTCAAGAAACTGGTGAACAGTGACCCCTGATCATGAATTTCAAATAACGTCTCAGTCTTGACAAAATATATGTCACTGAGATTCACCTTGTCTCGTGGAAACACTTAGAATTTGCGTTATGTCATGGGATCTTTCGTCGGCACGGAGTTATAGTCAGCATAGTGGCAGGCCTCACTTCGCCCCTATACCCCATGCTTGGAGAGTACTTGAACACCCACTCGAAGCATACGCTTATGCACAAGCCTGCAGAAAAGCACACACGCGTGCACGTCTAATGAATTTTTAAAGAGTGCAAGAAAAGAAAATGAAATGTCGAATTTGCATCAACAATCTGCATCATTCGCACCTGCGTGCGCTAAGGTGACAAGAGAAATCGATTTCTCGAAACGCTCACCTTCGTGTCAATATGGTTTGAATGATGTTCCTTTATTTATTATGTAACACGAAGAGGTTAATTGAACAAGGTTAGCTGATTGTGAATTGAAGGTATTTGAATTTTATTCTCATGTTTTTTTGTGAACGTCATGTTTGCATGCACATAGTAACCTTACTTTACAATTAGCAGTGGTTTAAAATACACCGACTACTTAGCTTGAGATTCGATAAAGTTGGATAACTTCAAGTACACGCACCACGATAAATTAGTTCAATGACAATACGTATCAGTTCCCACGTTTGGTGTCATAAATGATAAATAAATATAAACAGTTGCACACAAGTGAGGATAATGTAAATAACAGAGGTTTGAGGGTCATTTTTTTTCTTTTAAATAACATTCCAACAGGTCAAGTACAGGTGCAATAACAAAGGGACTATGGTACATGTACTATCACAACTAGCGGTAAAATGAGACAGTTATAGCACTCTGCCGTGTCACGACTAGATAGACGCCTATAAAAAAAAACATAATCCACATAATTTATGGTGCAGTTTTAAAGCTTATTGATAGATCAGCTTTTAGGTTATGGCATTTTAAAGTAGCAGTATAACCGTCGAGTCGTTTAATTTAGGTTTATAGTTTTCCCGATATCTGTATGTCAAAGCTTTTCTTGATTTTAATAGAAACACTTTTAAATTTTGTTGATGTATGTATTGTCTCAGATGTAATGCAAAATATCGTGTAAGTTGACAAAAAAAATATGATAGGAGCTTACAGATAAAATACATAACGCATTTCATTTTGAAGTTATTGTGATGAGTTTGTTTGTTGGCAAATTGAGGTACATTTTGGGTTTTAGTTATTAAAAAATGACGCAATGATGATAGAATAAAAAAATAAAAGTACGCTGGACTAAGCTAGCTGGGTTTGTTTAAAATGAAAACCCTGAAATGAATATGAACGATACTGCCAGCTGTGTGGTGCAGTAATTATGAAGTCGAAAGACATGCACACTGTACGGCGATAAGGTTTTTATTTTAACTGCATTACTGTGGTGTGGAATTGCAAAAGCTGTCTCAAGTTCCAACCTTGGCCGGCGTTTATACTTCATATCTCATTTCCTGAAACGCTTTCCTGATGCGCTTTGTTCGTGTACTCAACAGCTATCGACCGAAACAATGAAGCCAAGAACAACAACAATGGCACTAATGAAAGTGATGTGTCAAAACAAAATGAGTCATACGGGGAAGAGTGCACGCGACAAGTGTCCATGACTTTCTATTCGATTGTATTTACAAGGCCTTTATTTCTGGATATGCCAAACCGGGGTATTTGACCGCGTGTGCCTTTTTTTTTTCAAGCAGACTCGCACTAACTATACTGATATCAATTGAGATATTCTGACAATATCTATGCTCAGAATACGCAGCAATTGCATTTTATTTTAAGGAGCTTTTATTGGCATTCCCAAAAACCTTTCCCATTTTTCAACTAAAGATTTCTCTTCTGTTCTTAGTCCGTACAAGCTTCAATCCATTATAAGCAAGTTATATTGGAAGCATTCTTCAAAAGCCGCCTTTTAAAATGCCTGGGACCGGTCCAAAAACCTGTTTTCTAAAGTCCTACATGTCCTTGATTGTAATTCCATCTGAAGTATTATGTCAGAATAACCCCTAAATAATTTACCTTGGACGTTTGCCCTATGGCGATCACTATCATATTGATTTATTTTGCAGGCGCAGCGACTTTGTTACCAGGCACCGATCACAATATGCAATGATTCAACAACATTTGTTTGTGATCCCATTTTCCCGGGTTGGGGAGGGGGTGTCGAGATGTAGCATATTATATGCCTACATGTAGACCAGTTCATTTACACGACAGCGTAAGAGATTGACACTTTAATAGACAAGCCTAGCAACGATTGTCCCAGACCAAATTGAGTTGAACCCCACTGTTGATCCTCATAATTAGGGCCAGCCCAAAAAAATAGGACCCGATTGAAATCCAAGGAAAGAACGTTAATATTCCCCGGAACATAGGTTTACGTGACATTTGGTATGTACCCACCAATTCTCTTCGCAGCATCTTCAATTGGCAGGTGACCTTCTCTTCAGTGCTGCTGCAGTTCTGCACCATGAACTCATGTTCCTGTCTCAGTTCCTTGCCTGTGGTCAGACTGGGGATGAGCCTGCTCCCTGCGCCCCACACACCCTTCCTGGGATGCGGCAAGGTAGAGGAATACTTGACGGGCGGTATGGCGTCCATCTTCCTTACGGGATGCTCAGCCATGTTGTTGTTCACGTTGAGGGGTGCCCGACTTTGCTCCATGTTTAATGTGCATGTGCGTTTGATCGGTTGGACATCTCAAGATGAGTCAATCATAAACGCAAATCATATCTTCAGATGCATACACACTCATAACTATCACCAATTAGGTTCAGAGCAGATCGAAACAGCCCAGTTTATAGCCGACCTGTTGCTATTTCGGTTTTACAATATTGACACTGCAGCGTTGCGACACCATGTCCATGTGACTGCCGTTCTCATTTCCCGCTATTATGAGCGTACAATGAAAGATGAGAGCAGTGTGTACCAAGTGATCAATAAATGAGATAAACACAAGGGGTGACACTCTTATTATGTACACACGATCGAAGTACGTATATCAGTCTGCATAGGATGTAGGTGAAATAATGTAGTGAACAGACTATGCACGGAAGAATACGCTACACAGTACGGATACTAGGCCACAGTCATATACAAGTACTCTCTGCAGCCACGGGGATTATACGCCAGCATAATCAACCGTCATAAATGATGCTAATGGCGAATTCTGTATCCGTATATAACGGCACCGCCAGAAAATCGAATTCCCGGTGCAGCACGCGGCGCAACATCTAACCCGCCATGTATGTGCGCTTTGTCAATCATTAAGCCATTTCTTCGCTCTCATCTTGCAAAAAAAAAATAACAATAAGGCCAAAAAAAAAATAAGTCAATGGGGGGGGCCTGGCCTCCGCATCCTTTAAGGACAATGCATAACTCAGAAATCCACCATCAGCGCAGCAGCTTACGAATACCATTTAGGCATGTTCTCGGAGCGAGTCATCCCTGGCAACAAAGCGGCCGGATCTAGATTGGGGTCAACAAGGGGGTAAACCCTAAAAGGGCCGGGGAATCCCCCCCCCCCCCTCAAAAATTTCCGTGACTGAAAGTTTTCCCATACACGTCGTGTACACAGAGCAGAATTACCATTCATACATATGTATAATTAATTAGCCATAATTCCAAAACCCTTTGACATATAGTCATGAAAATTCTTGGGTGTGTTCATGATGAGTTGCTCTATGCATGTACTAAGTTTCAAAATTTTCGTCACTCGATGGCCGAGATCTTGGGGGGGGGGGCGGGCGGAATCCGCCGCCCCAGCTGAGAGATAGTCAAAATAACCCGGCCATTTTAGGGTTAAGCACGCATGCATTTTCTTCATGATTTCAAGATGTTGCTATTTTGTTTGTTGCCGGGGGGAGGGGGGAGACGATACCCCTCCTCAACCCACACAAGGGTGTATTTGCCTGCAATCGGGAAGACTTCCCATATGTTTTGTACACGAATCCAAGGCCAAATAGGGGACCTCTCGGGAATTGGGGACCCTTTTGTCCTCTATATTGTTCAACGTCCCCTATTGAATACAGAAACAAAGTCCCCGCCCCCACCCAATCTGCCACTGAAAAATTAAAGGTTGCCTGTCGTGAATTTCCGATGCTTTGAATTGAATTTGAATTACTGTTACATGATACATGTTTATCTATTTGCCTAATCAACTGATATGGCTATTACTTTCTTATTTTTTATCTTTTGCATTTTTATAACTGCATGTCTTCTCAACTAAATCCCTCATTGACATTACTGCCCACATTTTCAACCCAAAACAAATACGCCCTGGCTACCCGATCTATGATCGCGGGTAATTATTCAGCTTGTACGAAATAAAATCACAAAACGCTATCTTTAAACATTAAATAGCGCCCTCACCCAATAAAAATACGCGGTGTTGATTTCTGACGACGACGTGCGTGACTATCGCACGCGCTCGACCGCACTGATGATGCAGCAGCATTTCCCCATAATTGTTTAATGTTGACGTCGTCACAATCACACGCTGCCTGTTACTTCATTCATAATCACTATCCACCTTTACAGCTTGAGACGGAAAACGTAGCTGCGGCACCTGTATTTGGAATCGTTGAAGAGTCGAAGGTGGAACATTTATCTGGAAATGGATGGTGGAAAGGCGGCAAAGAAACGGCGAGTGGAGTCCAATAATGGGTCGGAGAAGCAAGCCGCCGTAAGCATCTAGCATTGTGTCTAGCCGGCCATTGGCATTGTAATCTAGGGCCCACTACTTAGTACGACATACATTGTACATGATCATGATCACTAGTACTATTGGAGGTAGCCTTCTCTTTTTAGTTCTACCTTTTAGGCCTAGTTGTGTCATCAGTGTATTGTTGATGTACCCTAACGTGGCGCTATGGCGGCGCGGCCCCTGGCGCACTTTTATTTTTCGCCTGTAGCGCCTAGCTAGAGCAAAAGTTTTAACTGAAATTTCACAGAAAGTGACATTCATCAAGTTCTAAACACTCCCATTCATAAATTGTGAGTTTATTCACCCGTTACAAAGTTAGAAGAAAAAAATATTTTTTGGGCGTGACTTTCCGATGGGTATGTAAGTAGAGATACATGAATAATGATTTATCAGAATTTATCAAGTTAACAGAAATTCTTAAATGTTAATTTGGAAATTTCCAAGAATTTCTAAACACTAAACTTGTATAAAACTGGCTAGGGACCTGGACTTACTGCAGTGGAGGAAGAGGAAGACTGGGCCACAAGAGGTCAGAGTTTTTCCTAAGGAAATCCCCTCGGTTGAAATGACTGCAATGAATATGTATGTTTATGCGGAGGAGATTATTAAACGATTAGTAAAGTAGCAGTGTAAAGTGAATGGGGAGGAGGTGAAAGTATGTATCCTGGGCGGCTAAGCAGCTACGGGGCAACGCAGTCGGTGAAACATGATTTCTGACATTAACTTCCTTTAAAGGTACTTCATAGCCACGACAAGTGAATGGGAGGTCTTGAAATATTTTTAAGTTAAAAGTCCTCAAATCCTGGATGAACAGAAATGCAGCTATGCTAGAACGGAGTGGGAAGAGTAGAACTAAAACTGGTTTTATAGTACACCATGACCATGACCCCGTAGCTGAACATGTATATTATGTGCTAATCAACTTGATCAAGAAGTTACATTTTTAATAATAATTCAATCAGCCCATAGACATAATTGTTTTACCGTTATTGTTGAAATGTAAACAACAAAGCGCTAAACTTGCTTCTTGGGTGATGTGGAAAGGGGGGGGGGGGAGTCGTTGGATGGAGGCATGAGCTTTGAAGCCCCAATACATTGTAAAATTGTGTGATAGTACCCTTCACGAACATATTGGGATGATTTCTGTGAGTTATTGCATCGAAAGACTTCTCAACTTGCTTTCTGTCAAATTTGCATTGCTTAAAAAATCATCGCGACATGGGCCTATACGTAGCGGGTTTGTGTTTTCAGCCTTAGTCTACTCTAAGCGCATTACATGTACAAATAATACAATGCATACAAACCTTTCACCAGGGCTGCATGGCCTTGTATTATGGACGGTTCCTGATTTGCATAAAAAGGGCTGTGCATGGGTGTGCTGTAATAGACTGTTATGATTGGTTAAGGGTGCCCGCACTGTATCATCACGCCACAACTGTATTCGTGTATACACATACACAGTACAAATTGCTTGTTTTCACCCAAGATTTAGTGTTATTTGAGTACATTGTTCTGGCTTTCTGCATGATATTTTGATTACGTATATTGTTAGTTAAGTTTCCTTTTTATCGGCGATTGGCCTACATGTGCATTGTAAATCATACAGAAATATTTTTGAGAAATGAAATATCTCCAGAAATCAGCCCTCATGAATTGTCATTTTATTTTTCTCAGGCTGTCAGGCATGTCAGGTATCGAGTTATGAATATAAATTCCATCATGCATGGTCCGATAATTTCTTCCAAACAAACTGCACTAAGGCAAAAAAAAAAATATTCGGTTTCTGGCCAGACCAAAGTTCTGGAATTGATGCGGCGACGCGTTTTTTTTTTTTTTTTTTTTTTGGCTTTTTTTTAACCTTGGATTGTACAGACAAGGTGGGTACTAGTTTGCTTTTGTTGTGTCCTTATATACATTGGGGACCTCCATAATTTGCCTTGGTGCCCTCCATCATTTGCCTTGGTGCAATTTCCCCATTCCTTGGTACACAAATTTGAGGAGGTGCGGCAATAGAGGACGCTGCTGTAGCTACCGCGGACAATTTGAAGAAAAAAAAAAGGTTGACACACGTGATTAAAATCGAAGCGCACGCTGACCAGAGACCGACTTATTTTTTGTTTGGGCTAATCAGAAAATTGTATTCATCCACCTTTAATATTTGATGTTATGCCTGTGTCTGGCATTTCTCTTCATTCGAACATGTCTGAAAAGATCCTGACACTTTGTAAATAAAAACCAAATATATTGTGTCCTATGTTCTACTGTCACAGATTTCAGTAGGAAATACCCAACTGAAAACAAGCAGACATGAAATCCATCCAATTCAAAACATCACATTACTAAAAAAAAAATGCTGACATATGGTTGATAATATGTAATGCTAAAGGTCGACATGATTTGTGCACGATTACAATTTATAATCATAATTCATTTGCACTACATGTACGTCTACATGTACATGTAATGGTGACTTGCTGTAGTGTGGGTATATTTTTTAAGGGTTACAATTACGTACATATGTTCATGTATTGCCTTTTTTTCCCGCAGGCAACCAGTATTTTTATCCAATCATGCCTATATGGCATGTGTATGGGGCTGCAAGGTCCAGACGGTTTTATGATCCCACCATAGCACGGTTGAATGCCATGTACTATGAACATGTACATGTACAAGTATCTGTCTGTGGTTGCTTTACCGTGTTTACATTTATTTTCCACTTCAGTGAAAATTAGCTGGATTTATAAAGATCCCTTTCCAGTGTTTGAAGCATGCTGTTGTGTGGACGGTCAGTGATACAAAACGAGAACAAAACAATCTGTTCAATTAAAATTTGTTCGTTCTGAACGTATTGGCCTACATGTACATGCACAGGACCTGGTACATACACATCTTTGAATATATTTTCTGTAGCAAAACCTGTATGGAGAAACATTTTGTAAATCGTGCTTTCGTCATCTACACAATCATGTGTAATTGACCTACCCATGTACATGTAGATTGCGGTTAGAATCGCATCAACGCAGCTTGTGCCATATTGTCCAGTTACACGATATACAAATTTATAGATGCGGAACTCGTAAAATTTGAGACAAACAAAACTTAGTGTACAAAAATTCCATATGGTTGTCTAAGGGGCATGGCTAACTCCCAAATGACGATAAGTCAATACGCTGCCTGTGCATGTACCGGTTTGTCAAATTTTGTACAGTGCTAATGTCCCCAAGTTATTTTATAAATGATGATATTTAATTAATCACTGAGACAAGTTTAAAATAATTCCGGATGTTGTCTTATGCTGGAATATGGAGCTATTTGGAATTGAAATGTATGTACTAATTAGGCCCTATACTGTTTTGCATTTGATAAGTTTGCATATAAAGTGCCCCCCCCCCCCACATTAAAACTATTGTAATTTTCACAACACGTAACCTGCATAGGCCTACTATTCACATTTTGGTTTGTTTGTTGATGTTTTTGTTTTGTTTTTGATTTGAACCGTGTTCTTATCTTGGCTTTTGACAGGGTGGTCAGCAGACTGGTGACAATGGAGGGAATAACAACACATCGCTCATGTTTGGCTTGAAGGAAGAAGTGGGAATCCTTGCACGAACTCTCAAGTTGTTTGAGGTACCGTTCAGTACATGCGATATTAATGCAGAATTAGCCTTTTGTCTAGTTGAAAGTACCAGTAACAGTTGCTTTTTGGAGAATTGTGTACGTGGCAACTGGCATTTCCTCTACCCTGCATGTATGCCAGGATATTTTGTGCACACCAAATTGTTTTAGAGTTAAAGGGATATTACTGCCTGAAATAAGCGCTTTTTAAATGAAAGGATATTAAATGGAAAGAGCATTTAAAAGTAGAATATAAATGTCCCATACCATCATTGAACCCTACATGTACCTTCCTAGGCCTTTTTGCTAGGATGTAGCCTCAATCCTGCAAAATCCTCCAATTGGCCTCATGAATGGAAAAATAGCCTCAATCCTGCAAATTCCTCCATTATTTCTTGAATATGGTCCGTGGAGGGGTGACCACTGCCTGAATCCTGCAAAATCCTGCAGCAGTGACTGTCAGTACACGTATGTTTAGGCTTTGCCAGTGACATCTTGGAGCAGTATGGAGGGTTTCAAGCATAATCCAGGCCTATATTTATGCATGGCTGAGCAAAACCAACACAAGGTCTGGCCCAAGACCTTGACAAAGTGCATCCTACGAAATCAGTAACGCACTTTTGCCATGAAACCTTAATCCTCCAAATCCCTCCACTTTAATAAAGAGGATTTTGAAGGATTCAGGGCGGATAGGGTTAAAAACTGGGTGTTTTTGTGTTATTCTTGTGAGAACCGTGCGAAAAAAAATCCCAAATTTCGGGGCTCACAATTTCATCAAAAAAAAATTGAGTTAGTTCAGCCACACAACTGGTCGTTTTTTGAGGACGTGTAAGAAACATGTAATTAATGTGACACATACGGTACAACGTGTATCGTACATTGAATGAAAACGACAGGAAAAATGTATGCGTACTCCGTCCTGTCCAATTAAAAAAAAAGAGGGTTTTTTCTTTTCTTTTCTTGGGAATGGTATTACATTAGGTTTGTTTCCTTTCAACTAGACCCTTCAAAGAGTATAAGTAGACAATCCCAAACATGAAATTTTCGAGGATTTCAGGCTGTAATGCTTCGATGCATACTGAACTATACAACTAGTTGTAGGCATTAGGTGAACTTGATAAGTACATGTACAAATGCTTGACATGCACTGTCAGTGTTGAGGACATGGTCGTGTAGTCTCCTTTTTGGGGGTGGGGTTTAAGTCAGTGATTTAAAAATTCAGTTATGTCTTAATACAATTACATGTAGACCCTTGTTTTTGTAACAGGAGCATGACATCAACCTGTCGCAGATCGAGTCTCGTCCATCCAAGCGTGTCGAGGGCAACTATGAATTCCTCGTCCTGTGCGATGAGAAGGCGGACAAGCTGGATGCCGTACTGGATAAGCTGAAAGAGAAGGCAAAATACGTCCACGTGCTGTCACGTTCACAAGATGAAAATACAAGTGAGCTTCATGTAGATTTCAGACATGAGAATCTTCCTGTTTATACCGGTACAGGAATTTCTGGGTTTTCTTGGTGCCCAAATTTGCTGCATGCGTTCTTTCAGCAAAACAAAACCAATTCACACACATCCCTAAGTGATTTGTTTTCGTTCTGCTGAATGAACACCTTGGTTGTGTTTAAAATTCCGTTGCTTGAAAATTACATAAGTAATTTGAATGGTTCTTGTACTAAAAGAAAGCTTTGGAATTATACTAAAAGGATGGTCCCGACATTTGGGTTTTTTTTTTTTTTTACTCAACCTGTATTAGGCATGTACATATATGGAAAACATATGCACCTTTTGTTTTCGAGGAATAGAAAATGTTCAGTGAAGTACATTAACTGGGAATTTTTTTTTTTTATTTTCCATTAGCGATGAAGAATGAATGTACTATGCAGGTGAACAAATTGCAGGCTTTCAAGCATTCCCGCTTTTCCTACTTTTCTCTGGTGCTTTATTTTACCCCTACTTTTCCTACTGTTTCCTTAAAATTCCTACGTTTTCTTACTCTTCCTAATGTTTATTGTCTGTACAACTCCGAAAAATGAAATCTCATTGGATATTTTTTCATAACACTGTTACACACTGTCATATTTAAAGCCCGAGTCCATCATTTGCAGCTATCCAAAAAGTAACTGGCGTAATTATTTTTGAAAAACATACTTGGTTGAAAGATAGTAAGGGGACGAAAGAAGGCCTTTCCAACGGTGCTTCTGAAGACGCACCGTAGGAAATTCAAACTAGTAGTTCGTTTTGTTATTCGGCGAAGCACGCGCAAACATTGGCACGACGCACATGCGCGCACGGTTTCTATAATTCGTCGGATCAGTGCACGACATCACGTAGCTGCAATCGGCTCAGTGAGAACGTGTCTCGGACGCTGAATTCAGGCCCAATTCAAAACTTGATTCAGCAACTTTTGATTTGAAATCGAGATCCTAAAATGTTGTTTTTCTCAAAAAATGCAGCTGAAGCTAAGCTGAAACTTCATCAGATTGGTTGTTCAGCATCCTTCTTCAGATATTGAGCACTTTTGTTGCTTCAAACAAACAAAATGCACAAATTACAAATGATGGACTGTACCTTTAAATCACACAATGACAAGCTTGGGCGCAGGAATACTACAACTGTACTTCTGAAGCACAAGTGTTGTGAGTACAGAACATGCCAAATGAGGCTTATTATGATGCTGTTGACATGGGTGAGTAACAACGAAAACTACTCCTGAAAGCCCGCAAAAGTCCTACATTTATCCTGATTTGTCCTCCAAAGTGCGATTTTTTTTTGAAAATTGTGATTCTTCTGTGCTCCTTCTTTTTCACCTGGATCTTGAAAGCCTGAAATTGGTAAAATGATAGTTTTTATGGATCCAATGTGTATGAGAGATGAAAGTATTACTACATGTATGCACTACATTTTGAGTTGAATAAGTTTTGTTAAATCTGACCTTGTGTTTTGTTTTGTCTGTGTCATTTCCAAACCATGCTTATTACCATTCATGCTTGATGGTGTCACCCATGCATCCATGCTCCTCCACCCCGCATCTTTTATCATTGCACTGCATCCACCGATGCCTAAGGCTCTGTTGACAAAAGTAAGTAGTATCATCAGTGGATCAGCATCTTAACCTCTACATGTAGAGAAGATTGAATAATTGAAATAGTTGTTTTCTCTTCACCGCTTTGTAAAAATCTACATGGGATGCAAACACTACAAGTAGAACATATTGCTAGGATGTCAAACAGAATTATCTTTTTCTCTACATATACAGTGTACAGGGTGGTTAAAAAAAAAGGACACCCACATTTGACAGCAATTTCCACGTACTTAATGAACTTATTTTAAATATTTTTTTTACATACATGTAGTAGTAAAGTATAGGCCTTTATCCATGCATGGTGAATTTAAGCTTGGAAAAAGTCGCAAAGATAATGATATTATGCTAATTTGAATACAAGTCACCGAAATCAGTCTTGTCCACGGGTTATTCTATGCAAATGGGACGTTTTCGTAGTTCATGAAAATTAAAAACCTTCCTACCAAAATATATTTTGCCCTGGTAACTTTTATTGAAGCTGTCCAGTTATTCATGTCAGTGTTAAGATCGACTGAATGAGCTGTTGGCTTCAGTTCATTGTTGCAGAACATTACATGACATTACAATCAAATGTCATGCCCTTTAAAATAAAGCTCCGATAGCTGAGCTCAGTCAATCGAAGGGAACATACCTCCGTGGACAAACAGGTTTCGCACATGAAATGTTCAAATTAGCATACCGGAAGCTGAAAGACCAAATGTGCAAATGCAACATTTTTTTCGTCACATTTGCTTGAAGGCCAGTAGTCAAATACATGTAGCTACTAATCAACAGTTAAAAATAATTTTTAAAAATAGGTAAAAGTTGCTGTCAAAAGTGGGTGTCCTTTTTTTTTAACCACCCTGTATGTACAAGGGAGGATCCAAGATATATTTTTGTACAATTTTGGGAGTCGAAATGTAATATGTTCATCAGCTTGTTATTTTTTTCCCATGAAATCCAAGTGAAATGTTTCAGCATATGTCTGCCTTACTGCCAAAAAGAGCACTTTAGAATAAACTAATAGGATTGCATGTTGCATGTTGCTGGCCTGAAAAAAAAGAGTTCTGCTTCTGGTTACCTGACCTTACCTCATTTTCTGGCGCGACCCTAAAGTTTTATCGGCACGTTTTAAATAAAATAAAGAAGTTTTGTAACAAAAGGGGGTTTTTTTTTGGGGGGGGGGGGGCAGAAATGAGTCGGAAACTCATACTTATTCTTAAAGGGCCCATGAAATGTATTTTTTTAATGCAATCCTTGAAAATGCACCTTTGTGTCCCTTTAACCTTTTTTTGCCATTTTCAAGGGTATTTTGGTGCCATTTTTGGTTTTTATGCTAATGCAAGTTTCAATATTCATGAGCAAAAGTGTGATGTCATATCAGGCAGAAACCTCAATGTTGCAATTAGTTTATACACAAAAAAGGTGCCAACATTTTGGATATTTTGCTGTCGTAAACTTTCTTTTCATTAGTGATTCATTGTTGTGTCTTTTCATGGCAGTAAGCCAGTGAGCAAACTTTTCTCACACATTTTTTCAATGAGCATTTTTTTTGGGTTCACTTTTTCAATAGAAAAACAGCTAATACACAATGTATGTACAGTGTCTCCCTAAAATGGCATCAGGACAACAGCGCCCTCAATTGTCCAGAAAAACATTGACAAATTTAAATGTTTAAAGAAGTGCACTTTTTAACAAAATTAACCAAAAAGCCCTTTAAGATACACACTTTCTTTGTAATTAAAAAAAAGTCTGAAACCACAAGCTTTATAAGGTAGATAAGCTTTCTGTCTTGAAAGTTGGGTTCATTATAGTCATGTTTGCTTAGCCTACCCCTAAATCACTCAAATCAGCTGTATAGTGGGTGGCATGTAGCAAACTATTGTGCATTTTATGATTACAGCACCAAATTTGGCACAGAGATAGACCAATATCATATCAATAAATGTGGATTTTGGAGCATTTCAGATCTAGCCCTTGACATGACGGCTGTGGAAGCCATCATTTCAAAAGTTCTGAGTCATGCTCAGTCAGCATAATAACTTAATGCACTTTTTTATGCAGTGTGGAGGCCAAAATATTTTCTACAAAACAGGCATAAACAATGGATTATCTTTAAATATCTCATTGGAAAAAAAACCTGAATAACGCCTGCCAGCATGGCCAGCTGATTCTGCAAGAACTGTACAGAGTACAGATGTACAAAGTGGACCAGCCAAAGTAATAAATTTAGTTTGGAATTCAAGTTCTGACTCGCCAAAAATAATGTCCTGGCAACGTTTTAGACCTTCCACTATCATAGCAGGAAAGGGTCTGGCAAAACCCTTGCCCCACAAATAAAAATCAATTGAGTTTGGTCACAAAAAGTGCCGAGTCACTATTTTAAAAATGCAATTATGTAAAAAAAAAAAAATTACTACATCATTTTCGTAAACTTTAATTTAAGTATCCACATACAAACGTGCAAAAATGCATTGATGTCGATTTCTTGTTATTCATAGATGTCAAGGGACAAGCTGGTTAGCTGTTGGGGGGGGGGGTTTGACTTTCAATGACGTCGCACATTCCTAATAAACATGCGCATTTGATGTCTATTATGTACAATGGATGGAAACGGGAACACCTTTTAGGGAAAATATACGTACTGGGATAATTGATTTTAATTGATAATTGCTTTCTTTTTCTGGGGGGGGGGGGGAGGAAGTCAGAACATTCCCCCCCCCCCCCCCCCCACGTTGACAAAATGACCTAACATGTACATGTATATGTAGTAATCTATGACCTACTGTAGTGCATTTAAAAAGTGCTGACACAGCTATGACTCGGCTCTTCTTGTGGCTCATCGCAACTCAATTTTTAGTGGGGCGCGATTTTTGTCAGCGTATTTTCTTTTGTGTTTAATAGTGGAAGGTCTCTCACATTTTGCACCCAAGCAGGGCAGAAAATATTTTGGCCTCGATCCAACCACACGAGAAAATGCATTACAAAACAGTGCTGACTCAGTATGACTCAGAACTTTTTAGTGGTTCCCACGGCCTTTAAGCGATGTTCCTATATCCATATTTGTTGATATGATATTGGTGTACCGGTATCTCTATGCCCAAGTTGGTGCTGTTATTATAAAATGCACAATAGGTTTGCTTTGCCGCCCACTATACAGTTGATTTGAGTAGTTTAGGGGTAGGGTATTTAAAAATAGCTATCCAGCAAACCCAATTTTCAAGACAGAAACCTTGTATACCACTCAAATTAAAGATTGTGGTCTCGTGTAGTTTTTTAATTATCCAAAAAGTATGTATCTTAAGAATAAGCATGAGTTTCCAACTAATTTCTGTCCCCACAAATACCGGTAGGGCAAAGACACAGGATTTTTTTTTGGGGGGGGGGGGGTGTCCTTGAAGCAATATACCCCCAGGAAACACGATTGCGGATATGAGACCAACTGTTGTGACTGTCAATTGGAAAGGATTCCCATTATTTTGTTCAACGTCAGCTGGTGCATGAAGCGTTTTGTAGCATGTCGAACACCCAGTTTGTGTGCAGTACAGTGCTAGCCCAAGTGCGAAATGAATGACCTCATTATCAAATTGTCCACGACTGCAATGAATTGGTAGTTGGTCAGTGGAGACCTGAAGCACGTGTTGTTGCAAAGGCCTTAGGGACAAGGTTATTGATTGCCAAAAAAGGGCATTTGGTGAAGATTGTTACTGACCAACCACCCTACCAACCTCCAACCAATGGCGAAACATGAGTACTTGCAGAGCTGCTTTGCTGCATCTAAAAATAATACCGAATTTAATGTTTTTTCCCCTCACTTTCTAGTCCCTTGGTTCCCGAGAAGAATCAGAGATACTGATGACTTTGCCAATAACATCATGAGCTATGGATCAGAGTTAGATGCTGACCACCCCGTAAGTACATTGTAAACCTCAATACGTAGATGCCCGACCCTCCACTTTAAATGAATTTTCTCCTTTTTTTTCCCACATCATTGATTCATCAGAGAATTGCTGGTAGCTGGGACATATGTTTAATATGTTAACCATTAATATTCTCTATTATAAGCCGTTACGTTAGAGAAAGGACCTGCCAAGCATCATGCCTATAGATACATACAAGTATACAGTGATTCAAATGCGAACAAAATGTAATGGAATGCCAGACATAGATTGTGTAACCGACCTAGATAATATACATTTAGGCATGGTTTGAAAGATATGCCTTTCCGAGTAAAACAAATGTAAACACTTTCTTGCTATCCTTTTAGGTTTACATGTTTATATGCTAAACATTTTAGCATGAGGTGATAGCAAGAAAGTGTTTAGAATTGTGTTTACTCGCTAAACACATTTTTTTTGTAGGCCAGGCAGTTATCCACACAGAGGCAATTAGGCTACCTTTGTCCAAATGCCTAAAATTGAAAACTTGGTCCCATGGTCAATTTGACCTCTCTCAGAAAATTACTCATAACTCTGTCAAAAATTACCAGATTTGGACGTTTTATGTCTCATTTTAAAGTGGAAAGGCGTATATTTCAAACCAGTACCGGTATATTATCCATGTTGGTTACACAATCTACATCTGGCATTCGCTTATATTTTGTTTGCATTTTTTTTTTAGACACGCTGTATTTTGGTTCATGCCTATACATGTACATGTATTTTGTTTACTGTGCCCACTTAACAGATGTCAGTTACCACCTGCATGTACTGTTCAAATGGTACGCAAGTTTGAAGTTCGTACATGTGCATCATATACGCAATACAGCACAGCAAACTGGCTGTTTTACCGGTAGCTGAGCGATGTTTACTTTTAAAAAGACAATGTATAGGCCTACAGTAATATTATTAAGGGTTAAGAACAAACTTTGTTTTCAGGTATTTTTTGGTTGAACTAGTGTTAACCTTTTTTTGTAAAGATAAAAATGGCTTGATATGTTCATTTTGATATTTTGAAGATTCTGTTTGAAAATTGTGGATTCATTTCTATTGCGTACCCCCCCCCCCCCCCCCCCCCCCCCAATTTGGTGAGTGATTTTATGAAATTGATCTTGATTGTTTTCACGTTGAATTCAGCATATTTTATGGTCTGTGTATGTAGTATATGAGTAGTCCCATTTGAATTGTTTATATTCTGTTGTCACCTTTATTACTGCAAATAGGGTTTTACTGATGACGTGTACCGTGCCCGGCGTAAAGAGTTTGCAGACATTGCGTTCCACTACAAGTAGTGAGTAGTTATCTGTATCTCTGTGGAATTTTTTGTCTACTGACTGGAACCTTTTAGAAGACAGCGAAGGTACTCTAAGTTTTTCACTGTCAAAAAAGTGCCACGAAATTAACAAATAGTTTTTCCGGGGAACAACCAATTTTACTTGGATCATGCGGAATACCATCCTTGCCAACTGCAGAAGCACATCCCCATGTTGAACGTTCTTTCTTTTTCATTTAAACGACTAATTGCATGAATTTCAGTTGGTTTATTACAATCAAATGAGGGCCAGAGGATTTTTACCGAGGAAAACTCACATGATCAAAGACATGCATGGACTGACAAAGCCAATCCATAATGAATCATTTCTAGGCATGGTCTGCATTTCAATCTGGGTCAACGTGTCATCGTAAATCCTAGAACAAAAGTGGGAATTTTGAGCTATTATTTACTTCTTGAGCTATTATTTGCTTCTTGGCTGTAAAACCAAGGATTCTTAAATATTGCTCATGGAACATGTGGATTGAAGACCATAAAAAAATGATCACGTACAGGTACAATGTACATGTACATGTACACATGTTCGTTAACATCACCCCCGAGGACTGACACACAAAGGAAGAACAACAGATCCTTTCAGTCTTCGGGAGTTGCGTCTTTTGTTGAAAACGGTCCTCGATCGTACGGTTATGTGCTTAGTCTATAGGAGAGTGTTATATTACAGGGACAAAAGGAAACACAAAGCATTGTCCTCGAGAGTATAGTAAAACACAACTGTATGAGCATGTACAGGTGGAAGTAAAACTGTGAGGTACAGGTATTGTGGGGAACCCCATGGTATCAGACAGGAACTGAAAACCCAATTCACATGTAGATCTGGGTGGTATTCGAACCAGGGTCTCACAGGAGGACGCGATGAAATTTAAGGAAGGTACCACTGCACCCACCTGACTCTCTAATTTTGTGTCACGAATTGTGTCCTTTTTAATGGCATGCCAATTCAAACCGTCAGCTACACAGAGAATGAGAAATGTTCACTTCGAAGCCCTGGGCAGGATTCGAACCAGGGTCACATTGTTGGACATGGTGATAGGCGAGGAAGGTGCATGTAGCACTGCACCAGCCTGACTTTTCACTTTGTGTCGCGGTTGTTTATCATTACCAGCCACACGCCGATTCCCCGCGTCACCTATACAGAGGAGGAGATCAAGACCTGGGGCAACATTTTCCGAGAGGTGTCCAAGCTGTTTCCGACCCACGCCTGCCGGGAATTCAACCATATCTACCCTCTGCTGGTGGAGAACTGCGGCTACCGAGAGGACAACATCCCCCAGCTGGAAGATGTCTCCAACTTCCTGAAAGGTAAAGTGGAACAAGATTATTACATAATATTGGATAGCTTGAGGGGGATACAAGAATATATTGCACGAGCTATAACAATGTTACACGAGTCGAAGATGAGTGCAATATTGTTATAGCGAGGGTTATGGTTATGGTTTTGTAAGTGTAAGTTCAGTCATCCATCTCAAACAAACTCGATATGTGGTTAGTGTTCATGGTATCTGGTAAAGTTATTCGACTTGGGCAACAGGTCATGACCTCCAGGGTTACTCTACCTGCCTCGGCCGGTCCTAGGTATATATGATTTATGTCACTGTGTTTCTCTAGTGTCTTGAAAGTTATTGTTTTGTAAGTAAAAGCATAGAGCTACAAACCCAGGCCCCTTTATAGCTGCACAGTTGTAGACTGTATAGTGAGGCACACACAAGTGACATAACACTGCCTGACGAACACGGCTGCCCACCCATTTCTTTGCTAGTCCCTGTTGCTAGTTATGACACATTCCATTTTGGTTAGGTACACTGAATATTATCCTAGTACTAACTCCCCGTACATGTATACAAACTGCTAGGATGCTAGTCTGAGTATCACCCATTATCCACGGAGCCAAGTCTCCTGTGTAACGTCTGATATGTCAAAGCATGCAGATATATGCGATCTCTCGCCTCAGCCAATTGGAGTCGACTTTACTAAATCGTGACATCATTTCATTCCCAAATCAGGACTAAAACTCTGATTTTAATTGGTCAGTTTGAATGCAGTGTTTTGTAATACAACAACAGCCGCGCGTGTCATGTCACATAATACAGAGCGCGTGACCACAGCCTTTGTTGCTGTGTCTAGCGTGATTTTTTATCCATTTCTAGACGCGACAACGAGTGAATGACCGAAGACCCGACATAGAAAGCGTCCCCTGATTGGTCAAAAACGAGAGGTCAAGATGCGGTTGTCTTGCATTATAAATCAGCAAATCTGTTCCAAAATTATCCTACCAGGATGCCAGGGGAATCGCGCAAGTTTTTACTTTTTTTTCATTTCACATTTTGCTGATCAGATTGTACTGGCTTCACTCTGCGCCCAGTGGCAGGTCTTTTGGCACCGCGTGACTTCTTGGCCGGACTAGCCTTCCGTGTGTTTCACAGCACCCAGTACATAAGGCATGGATCCAAGCCTTGGTACACACCAGAACCGTAAGTCCTTCCTAGCATCGGGCATTAGAACATTATCATGTTGCGGCCATCTAGATTTTTTTCCCATGAATCCAAAACGAGGCTTGAAGGAAAAATAGTCTGGTTCCTTTTTGCACAAAAAACATTATCGTTCCATACTGTTATTGGATAAAGGGAGCATTACTGATTTGGTGGCAGCATAATAAAGGTCTATTGACGTTACTCTCCCAGTGGGTTTTTTTTGGGTTTTTTTTCAATTTTCATTTTGAATGAGACATTGAACAATGAAAAAAAAAAAAAGGCCCACGTTTTATAGTTTAAGTTGGAAAATTAACTTTACAAATTTCAAATTAGGTGTTGACTACCAGTAATATAGCATATTTTTAGAGGGTTGAAAACATCTAAATAGAAACAGGAGCCTTTTCAAATAAAACACACCAATTGAAATGTCAAATTGAAATGACTTGAAAAATGAAATGTCGTGTCCTGAATGTTCAGTGTAAATCATCTCCCTTTTGTTTTCCTCAGGGATGTTTGCCATGAGCTGATTGGCCATGTGCCATTATTTGCCGATCCAAGCTTTGCCGCGTTCTCCCAGGTAAGTGTGCATGCGGAGGCTGTTATCTGAGTGGTAGTGTGACATCACTGAGGGGCTATCCGCTCCGTTCACAAGTACCCCCTCACCGGCAAAGAAAGTACAGTTAGGGGTGACCGACCGACGCCATCTTGCCTGACTGTAATTCATTTGCCGCGAAGTGCGGCCACTGCGTGTAGGCCTACATGGTACGAATCCCCTGGTGTACGAGCGTCACACACAAAGGAAGGGTGCGCGCGTCCACCAGCGAAATGTCCCGCCCATGGGACGTCATTGCTAGGTAAAAGGGCGCCCTCTTTCGTTGGCGCACGGAGCCCATAGTGACCCATAACAGTGGACGACAGAGAGGTAATGAAGGCGCCTGAGCACCACCACCACTCCCTGCCTAGGTTCAGGTTTGTCCCTGGTTGGAGAAGCCGAGCATTTAGACATGAAGGAACTTGTATACTGAAAATATCTAAGTAAATACTCCAGGGCTGTGCATCGGAATCTGATACCCGAATCTGATACACTTAAAAAATCCAGTCAAAAGAGGGCACACTTTAAGTAAGGCACAAGAGGGCGCTATTTTTGACAGACTCCATTTTAATCACCAGCGGCTCAAAATCGCTATACCGAACGATCGCTATTACGAACATTTTGTGTGGATCCCGCGATTTTCGTTATAGCAGCATTCCACTGTACCTGGTTCCTGTACTTACCCAGAAATGCACATCTCTTGTGCACTTTAGCTCAAGTAAAATTCTAATTCCCTTTGCAAATGATTGTTCAAAAACTACATTTCTTGCATAACAGTTTTCAGGCTGTGTGTCCATTCATTTATATTCATTATCGAAAGTACTCAAACCAATGGAGCCTTGGTGCTTACCACCCAGTTTCTTGCAAGTGTGGGGTCTCGGAAACAATTTTTATTGCATCCTCCTTTTTCCACTATTTAGGAGATGGGCCTGGCCTCGCTTGGTGCACCTGACGAATACATTAAAAAGTTGTCAACAGTAAGTAAAAGTTCTTATTTAGATAATTGCATATATGGTTTACTTTAGTTTGTGCCTCTCCATCAAGGATTAGTACTTCTTTGAGAGTACTGTTTTGGTAGCTTTATGCTCAATTATTCTCAAGCTACCATTAATATTGATTTGAGAAACATCTATAAATTGCAGACGGCTGTTTACTTCCATCTTGATATAGTATTTGTACGCATGCAGAGGGCACTACCGAAGAACTGTTAAAAGTAAGCATCGCACAGGGCTATGTCACATAATGTTCGATACTGTTTCTGGTTGTTAAAATGCTTTTGACATGTTTCTATATATTGAACTCTTTTATGTTGGGCTTTTCTTTGACTCTTGACTTTGACACTTCTCTGTTGGCAGCTTTACTGGTTTACTGTGGAGTTTGGGATGTGCATTCAGAACGGTCATAAGAAAGCATACGGTGCTGGACTGCTGTCCTCCCGTGAGGAACTAAAGGTAGGGCTGCAAGAACAAAGACATCCCACCCCACTCAGTGTAAAGAATTTTGACAATTTTGTATTGAGAATTGGAGCATATGGCAACAGACGTACTCTTGTGACACGGAAAGTGCTGGAACCAGTGCATGCACACAGTTTGAACCCACACACTGGAGCCCTAATTGTCACACAGCCATGCTTTTCTGGCACGTAGTCCACGGAGAGACGACATTCTCAATCTTGTGTATGATTTGAAGCTTTGCACAGTGGAATGAATGGCAAGAACGAGGCTTGGGGATGACACAAAGAGACTGTCAATCACTATCTTTCGATAGATCTGTGAAGAAACATGCGTTTTAAAAATTTAGGCTTAACATGGTGGAGTAACAGAATCGTTTCGGTTTGCGGTAACACCATGAGGAAAAAGCTACTGCTCAGTACATATTTAGTTCAGTCAGCCGTTGTAAAGTAGGTCGGGAGGGGGGGGGGGGGGGGATTCCGGCCATCGAGTGACGAAAAATTTTGAAACTCTGTAAGTGCATAGAGCAACTCATACCCAAGAAATTTCATGACTATAGGTCAAAGAGTTTTGGAATTATGGCTAATTAATTATACATATGTACGAATGGTAATTCTGCTCTGTGTACACAATATATATATGGGAAAATTCAGTTTTCACGGCGGGTAGCCCTGGCAACCCATGGTCCAATTTTCATGTTTTTGGTATCAAAAGATGAGGGGGTTATGCTATATACTGTAGCGGTATACACTTAAAAGGTTTAACGATTTTAAGAAACCATTATTTTGTTTACCAGATAAGGTTCTTTGAAAATGACCACTGGCAAACTCGAACTCCAAAGCCAGGTCGTTCCTTTAGCTGAAACCAAATAATAGGCCTAATAGTAGGCTGTGTTAGGATTGGGAGTAAACCAATCTGAATTTACCGACACACAGCCTACTTAAGGAGCAGCATCTCCAACTCACCTCAGTCTCCTGACGATGACTAGAGCAGGCTAGTCGAAACGTTGAGACCAAAGAAAGTTCTTTAAGAACTTAAAGCAGGAATGTTCTCATCAGAACTAAAACTACTTAGCGAAAGTTGACAAAAAGCAGGACAAGTTCTTTTTAGAACTAAATATCCACTGAGCAGTAGTTATTACCACATGGTGTTACCGCAAACCGAAACGATACTGATACATTTATTCTAAACGTTTTCAAAGAAGGGATTGATAGTCACTAGGTTTGGATTCAAGCCTATCACAAGCCTGGTCTGAAGTAACTTACAAGTCCTTTCCCCACATCCAGTCACAAGTAACTAGGGGGTGAAACATAATTCATTTGGGGAGTTAGACTGGCGCAGTGGTTACTGTCTCTCCTTCCATCACTGTGTCCCGGGTTCGATTCCTGTTGTGGTCCACATGTGGATTGGGATTTCCCTACCTGATTTCCGTGGGTTTCCCTAGAATATTTTTCTGGGGTTTTCCTCCCACCTCTTAACACTGTAATTTCTTCTCATTGTCTGCTCTCTACATGTTTCTTCTGGCTTTCAAGCTACAGTGCCTGGGGCACTTGTGAGAAACCCTTGGTTTCATTACCAGAAAGAAAGAAATAAAAACAAATAATCAATTTGTTATGGTTCACGACTTGTGATGGACTTGCAAGGACAAGGACTATATAGCTGTAGCCATCTGCAATCCTCATTTGTGTATTCTTATCAACCTTGATTCACTGTCTGTTCCTGTATATGACAGCCACAATATTGATGGATTTCCTATTCCTCTTTTATTGCAGTACTGTTTGACCGACGAGCCTGCGACCCGACCCTTTGACCCAGCTGTAACAGCCGAGCAGGAGTATCCCATCACCAGCCTCCAACCCATTTACTTTGTGGCAGAGAGCTTTGAGGATGCCAAGGATAAAATGAGGTGAGACCAACTAAGCAGGTCAGCACTGAGTTGGCTTGACCAAAGACAATGTACTCCATGCAAAAATAGAGGTTTTATTTAATTACTTATTTTAACTGGGTAGTCAATTAAGTGGAATCTACTCCCATGGGGCCCAGTAGTAACCCTAAAAGGGCCGGGGGGGGGGGGTTTGCAGAATCCGCCACCCCTCAACTTTTGCCGCGATAGCCTTCAATTTTTTTTTTTTTGCGACCCCGAGCTGTTATGACTTCTTTAGCCTCCAGCCTTGCGCATCTTTTGAGACCAAAAACATACAAATTGGACCACGGGTTGCCGCGCAGTGAAAATAAATTTTTCCGGCGCTATGCGCTGTGAAAACTGCACTTTCCCATATACCTCGTGTACATAGAGCACAATTACCATTTGTACCTTTGAATAATTAATTAGCTATAATTCCAGAACCCTTTGATCTACAGTCATGAAATTTCTTGGGTATGTTTTTGATTAGTTGCTCTTTTCATTTACCGAGTTTCAAAATTTTTCATTACTCGATGGTTGAGATCTTGGGGGGGGGGGGCAGAATCCCCCCCCCCCCCCCCCGGCCCCCGGCTGAGAGATGGTCAAAATAACATGGCTCTTTTAGCTTTATAGAGAAGACAATGTGAAGAAATAACATTTGTAGATGTGGGACGAAAACCCCAGAAAAATATTTTGAAGAAAACCCACGGAATCAAGTAGGAACTGAAAACCCAATCCACATATTGGCCCAGGCAGGAATCGAACCCGGGTCACAGCGGTGGAAGGCGAGGAAAGTACCACTACGCCAATCTGACTCCTGATTTAGGTGGGACTGGAATGCTTTATCGCAAAACATCAGCCACTCATGTGTAGATTGGTTTTACTGGCGTTCGTGCACGGAGTCCATTAAGAAACTGTTGAATGATTCATGATGTAACACAGAAGAGTTATCTTTCAGACCTTTCATCCAATTTTCAGTCGTTTTGTTTAAAGGGAAAATACAACATTTGCAAACATCAAAAAATATAACTACCAAATCATTTTGAAATACCTTGCTGGACTGTTAGTGAATGACAGTGTAAAGCATCCTGTAAAATCATGGCACCTGGTATACTGTCATAATCAAGAAAAGTGGTATTTTTGTATCAATTGACCATCGCACTTGTTTGCAATCGATTACAAACCTATGAACGGGTACGAGCCAGCTAGACTGGTTCCCTGACCTTACAATTCCCCAATGTATGTAAACTGCTCTGTTTCTTCTTATATGGAGTCAGGGAACCAGACTACAGGAAAATGATTGTTTTTCTTGGTTTTTATAGCATTTTCGAACCCAAAACCTCAAAAAAGTCTGTGTAACTATATTTGCTATATATTTCCAACCCCCCAATTCCATCCATTTCTGAAAATTACAGTAAAAGCAAATGATGTATATTCCCTTTAATAATTGACAACCTCATCCCTAAGAGTCCGACTCGTTTCTTCCAACAGGAAATATGCTGCCAGCATCCCCAGGCCATTCTCAGTCCGCTACAACCCCTTCACCCAGACGATTGAGGTCTTGGACAAGAAGATGCAACTGAAGGACCTTGCCACGAGCATCAGAGGTAATGGTGGTACCTCCCAACCCGGGGGGGGGGGGGGGGGGGGGGGGGGGGGGGGATTTGGATGACGCTGCGACTGCGGTCACTAGAAATCATTCAAGGGTGGCTTAAAGTTGCCCTACTGATGCTTTTCAACATATTCAAAATTGTTTTCTCCCAATGAATTTTAAATTTCAATGCCTTATTTAAATGAAAAAAAAGCAACTTTTTTCCTATTTTGGATTTTGTTCAATCCTCTGATAATCCCCTTTTATTTCGGGTTGCTGTTGCGTCCAAAACACACACACAAAAATACACCTGAATTATTGTTGAGCAGCAAATAATTTGAAATCTGCAAAGTGAATATTCTATAATTATACATGGGTAGATTTTCTGGTTCCATTATCTCATTCAAAGATGATTTTTAAACCTTTATATTGCTAGAAATATAGCATTTTGAGAACGAAATCTAATTTTTAGGGTGAAACTCAAACTAGTATTGGGATAGCAACTTGAAAGAGAAATACAACAAACCCGCCTAATAGACCATCGTCATGCTGCGGCCATCTTGATTTTTCCCAATCAAATCAACTTAACCAAAGCGAGGCTTGAAGGAAAAATAGTCTGGTTCCTTTTTGCACAAAAAAACATCATTCAGTACTGTTATTGGATACAGGGAACATGACTGAAATGGTGGCAGCATGATAAAGGTCTATATCATTGCCGTCAGGCTTCCATATCACAGCTGTACTCTGCTTCAGGCTACATGCTTATCTTTACACATAGACAGCAATCTCCCCTGTAATACTGACAAGCTCCAAAATGCTAACATTTTTCGGGTATTTTAGAGCTGGATACCCCATGCTGTAGTTGGTTTGGCACCCATTGAACTGTCATTACAGTGCTATAATGATTCCAATCAGGCAACTGATGGGGCCACCTGTGGGGCCCTCTCACTGACCCACTGTGCTCCTAGATTTTTGTGGGGTGCTGTGGTCCAATGGTTACGGTGTTCAACTCATGTGCCGTGGTACATGGGTTTGAATCCTGACCGTGGGAACATGGTGCTTGTGCTCTTGAGCAAGGCACTTTACCATTATTGCTTCGTCCTTCGGATGGGACGTAAAGCCGTAGGTCCCCTGTGTTGAGTTAACAGTAATGCATGTTAAAGAACCCAGTAACACTTATCGCTAAGCATTGGCTGCTTAATGCGCCGCAGCACCTTGTAAACCCTTATAAGGTGCTACATAATGGGTCTCATTTCTCATAAACTTTATTTACCTTTCTTTAATAATAGAGATAACTTCCAGTGCCTTTAGTTTCTAATTGTTGGTAGATACGTGCGCTATATAAGACTCGGGTGCTATTATTCCTACAAATGTACTATTAGGGAGACACGTTAGCGTAGAAAATTCGGTAGTAGGGAGACACGGGCTTAATAGGGTGACACCTAAGTGTCTCCCTATTGGCGCAGCCCCCCTTTAGAGACAAAATTTCGCTGTCGCAATTAGGTTATATTTGTTGCTTGTTGCCAAATTAGTAAAAATACCGAAATTTGTGGAAAAAGGACCAGGGAATATCGGGTTAGGGCACATTTAAGTCGGAAAATTTTTGTGCACAAGTCTATGGGAAAGTCTCCCTATTACCCCCATAGCCGGTAATTATTATTATCATTATTATTATTATTATTAAAGAATGACCTCCAATCAACCATTAGATTGGCTCCTAACCCACAAACATTCAAATGTAGCCTAAAAACACACCTGTTTGCTTGATCCAATATATTCTTGGTTTCCCTGGCTATTTATCTCAACAAGTGTGATTGTTTGTGTTATCATATTCTTGTACTTTTTTTGTAAAGCACAATAATCCTTAGTTTGGAATTGCACTGATATTAATAATATTTGTTGTTATAATTATAAGTCAGGGACCTAAACAATCTCATGTCGACGGGGGTAAAATCAGAGGCCTGGAAGCCTCGTAATGTCAACCCTTAAAAGCTAAAACACACATTTTGTTTTGTCTTTTCTCCAAAAGGTGACCTTAATATTCTGATTGATGCGGTGAACAAGGTGTCCTAAACGTAACTCGGAATAACTCCAGGGATGGAATGCATCCAAGAAACTTCTGAAGAAATTCCAAAACCGTATGAATACATAATTTTACACTTTTTTTAATAATTGAATTCAAATTGTGAGTTTGGCAAATTTAAAAAATCAAATGCAGGTTCTTGGTGAGCCACTATCAGAGTTGAAAAGTGTTGCTTCAAGACAGATGCATCATGTATACATGTAGATACCAAGGAAGATATAATATGAGATTTGAAGGTTTGCATGGTGGAGAGATACTAAGACCTAGATACTATCTTTTCACTCTACTGTATAAGGAAAATGGTGGCTCTTTCTTATAGACTGACAATACCCATAAATATGTACGGGTTTGGGTGTTTTCGTCAAGGTGTTAATTTCCACTCCCTCAGGTTTGACAGGATTGGGTTGGGAAATTAAATATATTTTAGGGGGGACCAATATAGTATCAATCAAGCAATGCACCTTTAAAGTATCTTCAGTATTAATGTACCATTGAACCAATGATGTAGATTACATGTAGAAGAAATCAAGTGATTTTTTTAAATCACCGATTCAATACAATTTTTTTTAAAAGCATTTATCAATTTATTGAGTTTTGTGGATGATGGGTATTATAGGAACCTAAACTCCTTAGTGATGGGTGCATGGGGAGATTTAGACACGTTTAGTCATATCAATAATTCGAAATTTAAAAAAATCATAAAAATCTGATTTAAAAAAAAAAAATCTGTTTAAATAAAATAAAACGTTTTTTTTTTTTTTTTTTTTTTTTTTTTAAATCAAAAAAATTGCAAACCCTGGTGTGACCGTTGTGTGTGATGGGGAGTGAACCCGTGAATGATGATAATGAAAGTAACCAGAATGATTAACACATGATTTAAGTGACTGGATTTTGTTCTTCCAGTAGTGAGACGAGTATTTTGAGTGTTGTGTCATTCTCTGTAGAGTCAAAAGAAAGTATCTAGATAGCTACCGCAAACTTATCTTGTCTTAAGATATAATAATCAGCATTTGAGGATCCTTTTTTGATGAACCCAATCACAGTACTGATTGAAAAACTATGCAGTGTCAATTTAATAAAGATACAAATCAGAAACGTAATTCACTGTAAGGACAAATTCATGAATAGTGATGACAGCATACTCTTCTTCGAAGGAGAGATTTTCCTTTGAAACTAGAACACGTGTGTTTGTAACTAGCTGCAACATTTTTTTTTTGACCGAGTCAAAAGCTTCACTTCTTGTTTCCAGTCATGTTAAAACTTCGCTTGCAGTTGGATTTCAAAAGTTGATTTTAAAACTACACTGAGAGTTGGAAGTAGATGCACAGACTTGCAATTAAAAAAAAAACTAAAACAAGATAACCCAGTTTTATGAAAGATTTTACAGAGAAAGGATTGCACACACGTTGGTACCTTGTATTAGACCTATCAATACGATATGTCTCAAATGCTGGACTTAATTCCATATTGGGGGGCCACGCAGTGATGCATGCTAAATTTCCTGAATTCCCTGGATTGAAATTGAGACTGTTTTTTCTACTGTGGAAGCTACTTTTCTGGTTAATACCAGGAAAAATCAAATTCCCTTCCTCCAGATGTCTAGTTATCCTGTAAAAAAAATGCCCTCATTTCATTTTGGATAAACTTCGCCAAATCTCCTCTGAAAATTATTGGATTACCAGACGTCAAAAGGAGAGGAATTTTATATTCCTGTTTCAACACAAAAGTAAGGTGAAATTCAGTCTACATTGGTGTATCTCCGAATTGGATAGAGTGTGATGTGTTATGTCTTGCATTGAAATCATATCGTATTTACCAGTCCATAGCAGCATTAAAACCACAATTATGAATTCTATGACAAAGCACAAAGTAACATTAAGCAATCATTATGTGGAGGTTGAGATATCCAGAGTGCGGTGATAGATGTACATGTATAATCAACAGTCAGTTGAGTTTGAATATGATTATAGTGATTCCTATTAACCGTTGTATATTTAGTTTAAATATTTAGTGTGTCCCATACTTAGTTAAAATATTTAGTGTGTGGATAAAGATTATTTGAGCCTTCCCATTGACTTTGTTTCATTATGCTGTTACGTTAAGCTAGTTCAGTCATTGCGAAAATGTTCAAAAGACACAAATCTGGGACTGAGAAACATTTCCAGTTTTGAAAATACTTTGAAAATGCACTCAACTCTCCATAGACTTTGTACACACCCAAAGAGGTAGTGTCTTGATATTACATTCTTTCCCTTTCCCTTATTTTTTCAGCATTTTTCTATTTCTTATTTTGCTTCTTTATCAGGAGAGATTCTCCCTTTAAATCGATATATCAAAATATTGGTATTTGTATAATGTAGAGTAAATATTTAGTCTTATTTCGCTAAATATGTAGTCTTAATTGGCTAAATATTTCATTAATCAAATACCGCAGCACAAAGCGTTTTATTATACAACTCTAAAACGTCCTGGTTAGATTGACCCAGAATCTGTGTTTCATTTGGCCTGACAATTTTCAGGATCAAAATGACTACTATCAAGACTTTCATAGTCTATGTAATGGACCATAATTTTGGATAAGGGGTGATACTCGGACTAGATTATTTTCGGGGTCATTTCGAAAGCGGCAATTTTTTTACCCTAACTAGTATCAGGCCGAATAATCGGAGTCAAATCTGACCAGGGTGTAGTTGTAGACATCAATGCATTTTTAGAAGTACATGTATGTGTACGTACATGTAGTTACTCCGTGCGGTGAACACGATATTTTTCCCCCAAAATTATTGCTCTTTGTGTTTGTCAGTGAATATGGCCCAAGAAACAAATATCAGGCTAAAAATAGTGTTATCAAAACCCACGTCGGTATCGCCGCACGGAGGGCACCATAAAACAAGGACGAGCTAATTCAGTTGTAAACCAACGTATTAAGCTCATCAGCATGATCAGAGTTGCTATTTTGGGCCAGGGAAAATAGTTATTGCTCAGACTAAAATGGCTCTCGCCAATTTATTTGCCTATCTTTTAACGAGGAACTTCTTAAATATGCTTTTGTTTTACTGATAAATATCGGAGTACATTGTATATCGGACTATTATATTACCGCGTTCAGCATTTGTAATTTACTTACATGTACTTTGTTTTACGGTGGAGATAAGTATAATCGTGCATGCATTTGCTTTGATTTTGATCGTTATTCTGTTATCATTTTTGTGTGCTTGTATTAATGAAGTCCTTTAATATAGCATAAGATTACACGTAAACATGTATATGTATATTCATTTTGCAGGGTTCCACAGGGTTTCTCTGAGTTATGATCTTAACTCTAACCCACCTAAATCTTCCAAAATCCTCCTGACAGTTTTGGAGAATTTTGGAGAATGGAGCATGAACATGTGTTTGAGAAACATGATGATTTTGGAGGGTTGGGGATGAATGGCGTTAAATCACATGATGATTTATTTGCCTATCTTTTAACGAGGAACTTCTTAAATATGCTTTTGTTTTACTGATAAATATCGGAGTACATTGTATATCGGACTATTATATTACCGCGTTCAGCATTTGTAATTTACTTACATGTACTTTGTTTTACGGTGGAGATAAGTATAATCGTGCATGCATTTGCTTTGATTTTGATCGTTATTCTGTTATCATTTTTGTGTGCTTGTATTAATGAAGTCCTTTAATATAGCATAAGATTACACGTAAACATGTATATGTATATTCATTTTGCAGGGTTCCACAGGGTTTCTCTGAGTTATGATCTTAACTCTAACCCACCTAAATCTTCCAAAATCCTCCTGACAGTTTTGGAGAATTTTGGAGAATGGAGCATGAACATGTGTTTGAGAAACATGATGATTTTGGAGGGTTGGGGATGAATGGCGTTAAATCACATGATGATTTTGGAGGATTGAGGATGAATGCATTTTGAGAGGCAGGACTGTCTGACGATTTTGAAGGATTGAATTTTGGGTATATATCCTTCATTGAACGAGAGTGCACAAGTTTGGAGGATTTTGGAGGATTCAGGACGGTTCCTAGCAAAAAGGGAGGGGGTTAGGGTTAACGTCCTGTGTATACTTCTTTAAAATATCGTTATTCTTGCCTTTTGTCAAAAGTATTTTTGGTGTCGGGTTTTGCGTTTTCATGAGATGTTTGGTTCTCTCTCTTTTGCATATTCTTTAAATGCAACAGCGTGATATTATTAATTTTGTTTTAAACCATGTATCTATTATGTGTCTTACATTAAAATAGTAAAACCTCTATAAAGATCTTTATTCTTGTAACATTTTTGGGTGAAAGTTTGAAATAAAGTTTTCGTTTAGTGCATATTGCTTACGTAATACATGTAATTATTTTTCCCCTGTCATCATCTGTGAACTTTTGCCTGTGTATGTTTTTTTTTCTTTAAGTATTTGGATTCATCAAATCGAATGTCATCGCTGAAGCCAGAGCAACGCATTATGTCCCTATCCGGTGTAGTGTGAATTTCCACTCTTATGGAATACTGACGCATTGGTTTTGTGCATATGTCTCGGTGGGCAAAATTAGATTACGGGGACAAGTCACGTCCATATAAGGTAAACGAGACCAGATTTCATACGAGTCCAGATGTCATTACACCGGTGTAGCGTGAATATCCAACTCCATGAAATGTGGACTTATTGGTAGTAGGCCTACTGCGCACGCATGAGTACGATACTATGCTATTTTTAGGATCGTTTCGGGAGAGAGTGACCTGTCACGTATGAGGGATCAACCAATACGTAATAGGGAAATAGGGGTCCGATTTTCATAGGAGTCGGATTTTCATGTGACACCGGTACATGTACCATTTTACATAGTGCAAACCTCGTTTCAGAGCTTACTTTATTTTCAACCCGTTTAATACCATAGTAACCCTTGGTGTGAAACATGCTTCCTGCAATTATTTGTATTGTATTCTTGGTAATTTGTATATTTTGTTTTACTGTTCATTCTGAATGATATTGTCGTCTCCCTCAAAAACACATTCCCTTCTTCATATTGCTTATATATTGTAATACTAATATGTATTGTAATGTTGCACTATAGATGGTAAACATCTTAACTTGCAAAAACAAATCGTGTTTTCGGATCTCATGCCGCGAAGAATTGATACGGTCTGTACCCCGGACACCCCATACAAAAAACACTGATTTTTATCATGGGCAGGCTCCAGATTATTTTGTACCTAATTTGCAAGTGCACGATTTTTGAACATGCAAATGATCCAAGTGTGAGAGAGCAGGTATAGTGGTGGGAGCGTTACTGCTGGACACCGTGGGACCAAGGTTGGCACTGCGGCAAACACTCTGGTCACTTCGTCTCGCCAATGCTTCCCAAGCTCTGAAATATTGATGGAGAATTAGAAATCGAGGACCAGGTGTATGAGTTGTTGGTTCGAAGCCAAATCCCAGCCGGTCAGAACCAGAACACATGTTGTCGTAGTGGAAAGTGACGTAGTCAAATTTACCTTTAAACAACCCACCAAAGCCGTCAGGACTCTGATTTCTCCCGATCAATAAGGAATAAAAGTAGCTAAACAGTACGTGCTTACGTAGTCGTACAAGCTAATAATTGTTTTACACTCATGAAGATGGTTCGTGGGGCAGGGGAAGCTCTGTTGTCGTAATGCCAACAAATAGAGCAGAAAAAAATATCAGGTTTGCTTTGGAATCGATACCACTGTTATGCCCCAGTCATTACTTTACTCCGCCATCACCACTTTGGTTGCTGGCACGTACAGCTGCCTGAACTCTGAAAGTGACATTGGGATAAAATCTTCAAATTGGATTCACTGCAAATTCACCACCCCTTTGTATACAGGTGAGTGGGGCCAGTTGGTATTAATTAGCCATTAATTTGCGTTAAACTTTGTATGTGCTGCATAGCCAGAGAAACTGAACGGTGCTGACATTTACTTCGCATTTCAAACTTTTTTATTTCACATCTAAATACCCATCCGCTGACGCTGATGTGCTGAACTAAATCAGAGATAACTTCTTTGGAAAGCGAAATTATATTACGATCGCGCAGATACCACTTGGCGGGAACAGAAGGGTCAATCCCAGTACATCGGCGCAATGGACATTCATATAAATCCAACATTTCAAGTTCTACTACAGAAAGCAAGCGTAATCACTTTTAAACATTGTCGAGAAATATGGACATGTAATATTAAAAAAATCTTGAGTTTGGCGTGCAAAGTGCGTGTCATCAAATGTAGAAAGATAAGTCATACCTGGTAAAGTATCTTTTATATACCATATATTTCCCTACAGAGAAGTCAGTGGCAAAGTCTCTGCCGAGCACA